AGCAATTCATGAGGACCTGTCTCCTTCCCTGCCCCTCTGCACCAGCCTTGAGCTGCAGGCCGCATGATGGGGGGGAGCCCAGCCACTGATTTCCTTCTCTACGCTTGGCTAGTTGGAAGCCACGGGGGTATGTAAAACGGGTATAGCACCAATGCCAGGGGGCCCACCGCTGTGAATGGACTAGCTCCTGTGAGCCGGGTGGCAACCGGGCAGCCGCCTGCATCCAGCTGAGGGCTGACAGGCGCTCAGAACTGTCCTCTAACCTTGGCCTCAGACTCTCCACCCTTCCCTGCCTGATGCAACAGATGGGTCCTGCCTGAAAGTCCCATCCAAAGGCAGCTCCTACTCACCGGTGACAGCCACCAGGGCCAGGCTCAGGACCACAGCCTTCAGGAACATCCTGGGCTCCTTGCTGGGCTGGAAAAGTCTCTTACTGCACTGGATCCTTCCTGGGTTCAGAGGGGCCAAAAGAGAGGTTCTCAGGTAGCTCACCTATGCTGCTGTTCGAACTGATTGAAGCTCAGAGCCAGCCAGACATTTAAATCCTCACCGGGCTGCACTCCCCGCCTTCCTCCCCATTGTGACTCCACGCTGGAAGGTGACACATTCCCAGGAGGCCTCTTGGACTTTCGTGACCCTAAGGCAACGTGGAAGCTGACGGCAGACTGGAGCCCGGGCAGCAGTCAGAAGCTCTGTGCACGTGCCCCACCCAGCATTGAAGGGAGGATGGGTGGGGGGCCATGAGCTGGGGAAGAAACGAGGCCTAGGGAACACCTGAGCCTGGGACTGATGCCCCAGAGGCCCTGTGGCAGCTCTGAGTCTGTGCCAGGCTTGGTGGGGGTGATGGGGAGGCAAAGTTCACAGCTCCTCTGTCTGCTCCAGTTAGGAGTGGCCTCCCACTCCTACATCCCCGGACCCGGACTCCATCTCAGAGCACCAGACTCTGGGCTGGGACATCCAGGGCCACAGGTGCGGGCAGCGAGCTGAGATCCAGTGCTCTGGTCAAGGTGCACCCAGGAGCAGGGGACCCCTGCAAGCCTTTGGGAATGTGGGTGGAGTTGGGGGGTGTCCCGTGTTGAAGGTGTTAACTGTAAGTGTGCTTCATGTCCCATCACTGCCAAGTGTGTCACCTTGGTCTAGTGATTCAACTTGGCCTAGCCCTGAGCCTCAGTTTCTCCTTTGAAAAATGGGGTTGTTGGGTATAGTAAATGAGAGAGTAGTATAGTGCCTGACAGAGTAAGCACTAAAAATTAGTTGTGATTGTTGTTAATAATAATATTACTATTTTCCTAATTTGGATCAAAGCAGGGAATACAGTAGAGTGCTCACTGCTCCATTGAGAGTGGCAGAGTTAGACCCAACCCTCCGGGGGTCATCAGGCAGGCGTGATGCAGGGTGAGGGGCAGGCTGGCCTGAGGCCTGATTTCTGCCCACCTCTCCAGCCACACTCCCTGGGTGGGAGCGGTCAGCTTGTGATGAATCACAGGACCTGAGGCTCTCAGGGGGCCTCTCACCAGGGGATGATGGGGATGGTGGTGGTGTCCAGGAGATCTTCTACTTGGGCTTCCAACGTTCTCTCCAAATGAGATCACACACAGGAAGATATCCACCAAGAAGGAGACACAGCCTGGTCAGCTTGGGCCCCTCTGCTGGACCACACACCTCACTGTGAGAGACTATGAGATGAGTTCCATCATATCGCACTGTTGGCTGTCCTCTGTGAGTGCAGTGCCTGGGACGTAGATGGGCTTCCAGTAGTCTGCCATTGGAATAGACCACAGTTGTGCTAACCCTGACTTCCATGTCTCCGTTTTTTCATATACCAGAAGTGGCTTGCTGTATCGTGGGATGGAAGACAGCTAGAAGGCTTTCTGATGCTTGCACCCCTTCTGCAGAGTCCCCACTACCCAGCAGTGTCCCACACCACCCGTGGTCACTTCCAGCATCAGGGAGCTCCTCCTTTCTGGAGCAGCCCGTGCCGTCTCGCAGTAGTTATTAAGGGTTCCGGTGCTGGAGTCGGACGCCCTGGGTTTGCGTGTGGGCTCCCCACGTAGTGACCGTGTGATCTTGGGTGAGTGTCTTAGCCTCTCTGAGCCCCGTCTGCCTCAGCAGGGCGTAGAATAGTACCCGCCTCCTGGGGAGTCAGGGAGCTAATCTGAGTAATGCTGGGAATGGTGCCTGGAGCAGAGTGAGTGGTCATCAAGCACGAGCCACGTTTTACCCCTGAACGCTTTACCTCCCTGCAGCACTCCTGAATCAGGCACAGTCCAGCCTGGGCTGGGTGCAAAGGTCAGTGTCCCATCCCTTCCCCCCTCCAGGCCAGAGATGAGGAGGGCAATGAGTCACCAAGGACACTCAGTTGAGTTTGGCCTCCTGGACTGACAGCCTGAGCAGTGGGCTTCTGGCTGGCACGGCTGAATCAGCACTGCCCAGTCCAGCCTTGTGGCAGGGGCGTGGGTCACAGAGGCTCATGTGCCAAGCCTCACTCGGACACAAGTGGAAGCAGAGTCAATCTAACCCTAGAGGACCATTTTTGGCCTCAGCTGGTCAGGTCTTCTCCCACCCACCCCCCTCCTCTCCTCCCACAACCAGTTATGGTCTGGGGGCCAAGCCTGGAGCGGTCTCCTCATTCCAGGGCAGCCATGGTCGCGGGGGAGGGAGAGAAGAAGGCGGGGAGAGGTGGCTTAGTCTGGGCCACCGATAAGACCCTTACTGAGATAGCCCTACTGAGACCCAGCTGGAGCTGCTGGGAGGGATACAGGCACAAAAAGGCACCAAGCCCTTTGAAAGAGTTAAGGTCCCAGGCCCCATGGCATGTCGCAACCCAGCTGCATGGGCCCGCACACCCAGGTTCTCTGCCCAGCTCGGCACCTCACCGCTGGGTCTCTCTGCCAGCGTCTTCTGACCTCCCTGGGATCAGTGGCCCATTGCTGAGCAGGAGAGAGAGCACAGCCTCCTCCAGACCCTCCACATGCATGGAAAGAGAGCTGGAGGAAACAGGGCCAAGGGCTCCAGCCAGCGCATTCTAGCCTGCCCCAGCCCAGCCTGGAACCTGGACTCCCACTGTGGCCCTCACCCCCGGGGCCGAGGAACAGGCCAGAACAGAAGAGGGAAGTGGACACAGTTGCCCTCTACCTTCCCCAATGTCCACATCCTTCCGTGACCTCCTAATCACCTTCCTTTCCTCCCCACCCCATCACCAAAATCTGTACTCAGGATCTGAAACGGATTGACTCTGATGAGCGAGTGACACAAATCTCCAAGGGTCTCATCTCTCCAAGCGGTTTGGTACCAGCGTGGCTATTTGAACACCTGGATTCTTGTTCCCAGCTCTGCCACTGATGGGCTATGGGTACTTGGGTAGGCCTCTGGCCCTGCCTTAGGTTTCTCACCTGTAAAATGGGGTTAATAATGTCTACTTCACAGGAATCTATTTGTATTTTAGCAGATAACAAGGTCTAAGTCAAAGGAATGAATCTGTATGGAGAAACTTCAAGTCTCAGCCACAGATAAAGAATTCTGAGGGTAGGGCCAGGTCACTTTCTCAGGCCTGTGATTTCACACTGTGGGTTTAGTTCCTTCCTCCTGAGAAGAGGGCCGCCTGTTAAAAGCTCTACTTCTACATTGGAGGCTCCTCCCACCTTCAGACTATGCTGTCTAGGGAAGGACAAGGTGTTTGGGAGAAAGGGAGAGAGATTTATGAAGCCCCCTCCATGAACCAGCTGCTTTGTACATATCTCATTTACATTTCACCGCGATTCTGGCATATCGGTATTCTAGCCCCATTTACAGAGAACATCGAGGCACTGAGGTGTTAGATCTCTGGCCCTGGGTCATATGAGTAAGTGCCAAAGTCATCATTTAAACCTAGAATTTCTTGGCTGTGATGTCTTCACATCCAGAAGACAAAGGCCCCTGATCCTGCCATCCAGGCTACAGCTCCCAGTGTGGGCCCAAGGAACACCTCACCCCGAGAAGGGCCCAGGCCTCTCCTGGACAGCTGACTGCCCCTGTAGAGGTCGTCTGGCCCCTCTCGCCACCAGACCAGCCTCACCACAACCTTGGTTCCCTTCAGTTGCCTAGCCAGCCAGGGGAGCTGAGGAAGCTGAAGCCTGAGGTGAGAGTACTCAGCGCTGGGACTCAATCCCAGCTGCCGCGGTTTGGGGAGGGCCCCAACCATGAGCCTGGATCCTGTCCCAGGGAATGTTATCAGTGGGTCCAGAGGGCAAGGTGAGGAGGAGGGGGTGGTAGGATAAAGGCCTGGGACTCAGAGCGGCCTTTGACCTTCTCCCACCACCCCCTGCTCTGGGATCAGCTCAAGGAGGCTTCTGGGTAAGCAGCACAGGGACTGAAGCCCAGAGGTGGAGACGCTGGGGAGGTGGCTGTGTGCCCTTAACTGTGTCCCACCTCCCCGCACAAGCCTCTACCCATAGGTCTTCTGTGACTTCACTCTAGGCACCCCATCCCGACCCGCTGAGTTGTTCCCAAGTCTGAAACAGCCCATCCCCCTCTCACATCACCCACCCCCCTTGCAGGCTGTTGTCAGGGCTTGGGGCTGGGGGGTGGAGGGGTGGGAAGGACCTGGAACCCAAGTGTGAAGGGCTGAGGTTTGTCCTCTAATCCCTTCTCCCATTTCGCCAGCCTCTCCCTGGGGAGCCAGGCTGCTCAGGAGGAATGGGATCTCCCCAGGCCCAAGCCACCCCCGGGTCCTGAGCCCATGTGGGCTACAGGGGTAGCAGAGAGCAGCATGGGCACCCGTAGCTTTCTAGAGGTTTCCCACCTCCCAGCAGGCCTGACTGCCTCTGGCTACCCTCTCTCAGGCCCTGGTCTAGATTGATCAGCAGGTGACCTTTGCCCAGCTCCCTGGGCCCTCAGTGCCCGCTGCCCTGGGGACAATATAAAACAGGTCAGAACCCTCTTGCCTGCTTACTCAGTTCATCCCAAGAAGCAGCTGCTCCAGGTAATGCCCCCTGGGGGGAGGAGGAGGAGGAAAAGGAGAGCAGGATGGAGAGGGCCAGGCGGGGGTCCCTGCCCAGCGCAGTCAGCAAAGCCTGGAGAAGAGCCTGCTAGAACCGAGGAAGCCTTAGGGCTCGATGAGCGTCCCCTCCCCAAGGCATTCTGGGGAAACCGAGGTCCGTGGGGGAAGGTCACCGGCCCAAAGCTACGTAGAGCGTAGTGGCAGAGCTGGGGCTGGCACTGGCTCCATTTCCCATGCATTCTGCATGCTTAGGACTGGAAGAAGCCTTAGACACCCCAGTCCTACCCCAGGCAGAAAAACTGGGGTCTGGAGGGTACAGAAAGCCACCCAGAGTCACACAGCATTTTAGTGGCGGAAACCTGGCCAGGACCCAGGTGTCTTTATTCCCAGTCTTGTGGGGTTTCTGTTCCATGCCACTCCTCCCTCTCTCTGGCCTGGGTCCCCCAAGTACCCTATCTGAAAGCCCATAGCCTCCCCCATACTAGGACGGGAACAGGCCCTTCCTCCTCCTGGCCTGACCCAGCTCAGGTCCTATTTTAGGGGCCACTGCGTCTCCCCAGGGAGGGCCCAGCGGCAGTGGGGGGACGTGGGGCAGCCCTCACAGGACACTTCCCCGCAGGAACAAAGGTGCCATGCAGCCCCGGGTCCTCCTCGTTGCTGCCCTCCTGGCGCTCCTGGCCTCTGCCCGTAAGCAGCTGGTGGGACTGGGCTGGGGGCGGGGAATGGGCCGCTATCTGCCTGGAGGACCCTTGGCAGATGGCTTGGGGATGCCGGGCCCCGATGAGTGGCTGGGCAGGAGCCACAGTTCCCCAGAGGCTGATCGACCCCACTCAGCCCCACTCTCCTCACAGAAGCTTCCGAGGCAGAGGATGCCTCCCTTCTGGGCAAAATGCAGGACTACATGAAGCAGGCCACCAAGACTGCCAAGGACGCACTGACCAGCGTGCAGGAGTCCCAGGTGGCCCAGCAGGCCAGGTACTCCCTACCTTCCCTGCCCCCGGCCCCCTACCTGCCCCTGACTTGGTGAGAACCCAAGAGGTGGGCTGTGGCTTTCCCATGGCCACCAAGGACCTGCGCCTCTCTGAGCCTTTCTGTCTGTAAAACAGGCTCCCTCGCAGGGAGAGGGCACCAAATCCCGCCTCTTATCCCTTTGTCGTCCCTCCTTTCTTCCGACCCAATTTCAGCCCGGTGTGTGTGTGTGTGTGTGTGTGTGTGTGTGTGTGTGTGCGCGCGCGTGCGTGTGTGTGTGCGCGTGCATGTGTTTCTGCTTTGTTCCAAGCCCTGGGGCCCATGTGAGCAGAAGTCGGTCCTTCCTCTCCCACCCTGCCCCTGCCCACTAGTCCTCTGCTCTCCCCAGCCCCCTTCCCCGCCTCCACTTCACCCGCATTGGCCGGCATTTCCATAGCAGAGGCGTTCACAAACATTTTTAGTCCTCAGAACCTGCTGTGGAGTGGGTATTATTTTCCCCATTCTGCAGATGAGAAAACCAAGGCTCACTTTACCAAGTGACCTGCCCCATTTCATGCAGCTAATCAACCCTCTGACGATTTTCTAAATGAGAGACTGCTTCCCTCGGCCCCGCCCCACTCAGAGCCACGGGGATGTACAATTCTAGGGCGCCTCATTTGCCTAGACTAGAACGGCAGTCCTGACCTTACACATCTCCCCACTCAATCACCCCTCTCCGGCTTGCTTCAGACCCATGAGCACAAAGGTCTGCCCCCACCTGGAGAAACTCGGATTTGGCTTGTGCTGGGGGTCCCATCATCACCTTCGCCGTCTTTTCCTGGGGTGGCAGCTGTAGGGGGTCCCCCTGCCTGAGGTCTTGGAGCATTGCTGGGTGGAGTTGAGAAGGTGCTGGGAGGGGCAGTGGGGATATGGTGGGAGCCCCATGGTTGCCACTGCCGAGACCGGCTCTCATCCCCACCCTGTTTGTTCCCCTCACTGATTTGACCCTCAGAGGCTGGGTGACCGACAGCTTCAGTTCCCTCAAAGACTACTGGAGCACGTTCAAGGGCAAGTTCTCTGAATTCTGGGATTCTGCCCCGAACCCCACACCGCCTTCACCTGAGGCCGTCTGAGATCTCGGTACCCCAAGTCCACCTGCCCATCCATCCTGCCAGCTCCTTGGGTCCTGCAGCCTCCCAGGGCTGCCCCCAAAGGTCGTTTGAAAGGGACGACATTCTCAGTGCCCTCCCACCCCACCCCAGACCTGGCCCACCCCCTGGGTGTGCTGTCCTTCCAATAAAGCTGGACAAGAAGCTGCCATGAGTGGGATGTCCCACGCGTGCCATGTATGTTTGGGCGCGGGAATGGGCCGGGGCTCTTCCGTGGGTGGGCTCAGGACTGACTCCAACTCAGGCAAGCCTGGGGCTGGTGTCCCACCCACCTCTTAGCAGCTGCGTGGGGTAAGGTAGGAATGACCCTACCTACACTGCCTGCCTCCACAGGTTTGCGTGGAGGAGCAAAGGGGATGCTAGGCTTGGCAAGACTTTGATAAACTGTCAAGTGCCGTGTAACATGTCTTGAGTGTGTGCTCTGTGCCAGGCCCTGCGCCTGACATTTTATGTCATCATCAGAATTGAGACCGTGTGTGATCATCAAAATTCTGGAGTGGATTTGCCCCGACCGGGCCACCTGGCCCTCTCAACCACATTTGAGGGAAGGAAGCTGAGGGGGTAGTAGTTAAAGTAAGATACATCTGGGCTCTAGTCTTGGTTCTATCACTTCATACCAGCCTCAGTCTCTTATCTGTAAAGTGGGTACAATGATACCCCATCCACTGTAGGTTTGTTGAGAATGAAGGAAAAGAGACAGTGCACAGCACCTGGGACATCAGAGGCACCTGGTAAATGGCTGCCATTGTCACTACAGGCTGAGCTGATTGTCCCCTTGGGACCAGGATTGGAGTGGGGGGGGGGCCAGTGTCCTGGGAACTAAGGAGGAACCCAAGGTCACCCAACACAGGCTGCGCCCCTTGTGTCCCCAGTACCCAACAGATGTTCACGTCAGAGAGTTCCAGAACTACAGACTACTTAAGCAGCCCCCTCCACTCTTCCAATGACAAGACTGAGGCTCAGAAAGGTGAAGGCACGTGCCCAATGTCACTGAGTCAGCAAACAGCAGACCTGGACCTCAAGCCCAGGACAGCTGTCCACATTCTGCTCAGCTGACACAGAAAAAGGCTTCGTTACTCCCATGCCAGGTGTCAAAGGCTCCTTGACAGATCTTGGTGGTGTCAGGACATCCAGCCCCACTTGGAGACGTCTGCTCTCTCTTTGGAAGTCCACCTGGGCTTCTCTTTGGGCCCAACTTGGCCAGGGATCCCAGCACCCACACCTGGAAAGTGTTCTCACCCAAATCTGGGCTTGATGCCTATTGTAGCTCAGGATGGTTAGGAACTAAAAAAAGCCCGCTCCTTTATCCAAGAGCTGTTAAGATACACTGGAGGTAGACGAGGGGTAGATTTTCCAGCACCAGGGCAAAAGGCCCCGAGCGGAGAGGGAAGGGAAGGCTCCACGAATGCACTGCCCAGATCTTTGCAGGTCTGTGAAGCCACAAGCATGCACATGGGGGTGTGCATACCTGAGTGTGAAGAGGGGCCGCCTGTAAACACTCAAGTCCATATGAACTTGAATGCCTGGCCACAAATTTATTTATTGCTTTTTAATAATCATGGATGCTCAGGGGCACGTAGGTCTGAAAGGGGCAATCTAGACCGCCCTGCTCTTCAACCCCGGAAGTGACTTCACATCTCCAAGCTCCAGCTTCTGCATCCATACCATCGATTTCATGGCAGTCTCCCCAGGATCTGGGGAAGGATGCAGTAAGATGATGGATATGAAAACACTTTGGGGATTAAAATGTGCTAGTTACCTGCAAGAGGTGCTGACTATTTTTCTGACTCAGGCCAGAAAAAGAGGGGCTGGCAGGGCTGGAGCCCCAAGGATGGGGCTGGCACAGCTGAGCCCGAGGAAACAGCGGCTGTTTCCAGGCAGGGTGGGAGTGTGAGGAATGGCACGAGGCCTTTGTGAAAAAGGAAAAGGGATGTGTTTGTTAAAGTATTTTTTGCATTAATAAAGGATGAAGGAGCAAGTGCCAAGCCCTTCATTTGAACCTGCCCAAATCCTTCAAGTTCCAGTGGCTCATTGCGGTCCCTCGGCCTCACCTGCCCTAGGGTAGGAGGGCTGGGGGAGGCTCCTGTCCTCTGCCCACGGGAAACGCTGGGGACAGGGAACCCACTTCTCCCAGCAAAGCCACTACTTCTTGCTTGAGGCCCTTTCAGGGCACCTGCGTTGGATTATCTGTCACTATGCCTGGTCCTCTATTATTTCCTTTCTGTCCCCACTCTTGAGCCCCCGGCCAAGCAGGTCTTCGGGCATTAAGGCCCTGAGAGGCCCCAGTTCCGAGCTGATGACTCCCCTGGGAAATCAACAGGTGTCCCTGCCCTCTGGCCACGCCCCCCTGGAGTCCCCTCCAGCGTCACTCCCCCCACCCCCCCAACCTCATTCTCCCCAAAGAGAATTTCTTGGCTTTTGGAGAACTCTTTATTGTTTAAAAATCATCATCGAAGCTTCAAAAAACATACAACCCATCACACCCTTCCCGCTCCGAAAATGTTTATTCTAAGAAACTGAAACTGATGGCGAGGGGAGCCTAAGGCATCTCATTGGGCATTCAGCTTCTTGGAGGCCTCGTCGATGGCGGCCAGGATGCTGACCTTGAGGCTCTCCAGCACGGGCATTAGGCCCTGGCGGAGGTCCTCCAGCGCGGGCTTGGCCTTCTCGCCCAGCGCTCTCAGCTGCTCGCTGGCCTTGGCGTGGTACTCGGCCAGGCTGCCGCCGCCCTCCTTGAGCATCTCGAAGCGGGCGGCCATGCGCTGGCGCAGGTCGTCGCTGTAGGGCGCCAGCTGCTGCCGCAGGGTCTCCACGTGGGCGCGCGCGCGATCGCGCATCTCCTCGGCCAGCGGGGTCAGCTTGTCCTGCAGCTCCTGCACCTTCTGGCGCGCGCCCTCGCGCAACTCCTCGCCCAGCGGCGCCACCTTCTGGCGGTAGATCTGCAGCTCCTCCTGCCACTTCTTCTGGAATTCGTCCAGGTAGGGCTGCACCTTCTGCTTCACCTCTTCCAGGTCCTTGTTCATCTCCTGCCTCAGCGACTCTGTCTCCTTTTCCAGGTTGTCCCAGAACTCCTGGGTCACCGGGCCCAGCTGTTCGCGCACTTTGGCAAACGCGCTGGTCAGGCTGTCCCAGTTGTCCAGGAGTTTCAGGCTGAGGGGGTAGAGAGAGGAGGGCTTAGGGCAGGCCTCCCAGGCACCCTGGCGCCCCCCGGAGCTGCAGCCCAGCGCCCCCGCTTACCTGGGGTGACAACTGGACACACCTGTCCCTGAAGGTGCGGTAGCTGGGGGCAGACCCTCAGCCTGGCTTCTCCCATCCATGATCTCCCACCCCCCCCGCCCCCCACTCCCACTGCATCCCACTGACCAGATGGACAGAGGAGCTAGAAAGAGACAGAGCTGGTTTTGGTACCCAGTCCTGTCTGTCCCCGAAGCCGGGCCTTTTAAGGACCTAGTCTCCACCCTTCCAGCCCAATCTCCTCTCTGAAGACAGCCATCCTGTTGCTGGCCGGAGCCGAGGAGGGAGTTAAGAAGGGAGTTAGGAAGAGGAAGGGGCTTGTTGCACCTGCAGGCAGAGCGCAGTGCCATGAATACTGACCCGGCAGCACGGGTCTGCCCCCTGCTAGGGGACTGTGACCCTGCGTGGGGATCCCACTTCTGTCTTCCATCCAGGTCTTCTATGGGGCCCATCAAATAGCAGGTGGGGATTCGGCCAGTCTGGCTGCTTCTTCCCACAGGCCTCCCCACCCCCAGCACCGGCACCCCCTACCCCTGCCCCAGGCCCCCAGGCTGGGTCCTTACTTGAGCTGTTTTCCCAAAGCGGAGGCTTCAAATTGGGCCACATAGTCTCTGCCACTGTCTTTGATTGCATCCACGTACACGGTGGCAAAATCCTTCACCCGATCCCAGGATGACTGGGGGTCATCTTGCTGCCAGAAATGCTGAGCCTGGCTCCCTGGAGGTGGGAGGGGAGACCCAGGTCAGGCTCTGGACTGGGATCTGAGCTGAAATGCTAGGTAGGGGAGAAGGGGGTGAGGGAGAAATTCTGCTCCCCGTGCTCAGGAGAGTGGACCACAGCGGTTCAGAGAGAAGCCGCCCCCCCGACGGTCAGCTCCCTAGGTTGGGGGCACCTACCGGTGAGGAAGAGCACAGCCAAGGTCAGCAGCACGGCTTTCATCCTGAAGGGACGTGGGTGACCTGGAGGAGAAGACGGTCCCGGCTGAGTGGGGCTTGAAGGAGCCCGCGCACCCCATCTCACCGTAGCCCGGGAGGAGGGGGCGGGGCACAGGGTAGGAGAGGGCCAGGTGTCCAGAGCCCCAGCATGGGGCAGAGGTTGGAACCAGGATCCCAAAGCCTGAGCCTCAAATGCCTAGAGCTGGGGGAAGCAGGTTGCAGCACTTACCTCAATGGCCAGCAGTCTCTGAACAGCCGGCTCTCCCCCAGCCTATTTATGTGACCAGGCAGGGGATGGGCTGGGAGGCTGATAAGGCCAGCCCAGGCCTTGCCACCACTCACTGGTCCTGGCGATGTGGAACTCAGAGTTCAAGGATCAGCTCTGTCCCTGGGGCCGGGCAAATAGAGCAGGCAAACAGGAAACTGTGAGGGCTGCAGGGCCAGGGATCAAGGGTTCAGGCAGGGGTGGGAGGGAGTGGGTGCAGGCTTGCGGGTCCCCAGAGTCTGGGTCAGCTGCACCCGGCCCCTTCTCCTCGGTCGGGGCTGTGTGCCGGCCATTGTCCATTGTGCCAGTGCAGTAGGTGAATGGGAGGAAGGAAGAAAAACACATGAGCTGCCAGCGATGGCTGGGACTTCTCCACTCAGGCGGTGTCCTCCCCCGCTGTCCCCTCGCATTCCAGGGAGATTGTCTCACCTCCACCCTGCCCTCCCTCACAAAGGCATTAGACGGTGCTCCCACCAGTGCTGTCGCATCTCCTCGTCGTCCGCCCTCTCCAGGCCCTTGCAGACATCCCAGATCCAAAAGCAAAGGGAGCCCTGTGCTAGGATGCTGCCTGGGGAGAGAGACAGGACAGTGCTCAGTGGCTCCCAGACTCTGAGATGTCAGAGACCTCTAACATTTCCAAACAAATTCTGAAGACCAACACAGAGCTGCCAACTTTTTATTTTGTCATGTTAAAAATCTTACCCACCACTGCGCCCCACCTGGCCCAAACCTTACCATCTGGTGGGATGAACTGGGAGATTGGGATTGACATATATACACTAGTATGTATAAAATGGATAACTAATAAGAACGTGCTGTATAAAAAAAGAAATAAAATAAAATTCAGAAATTCAAAAAAAAACCCCCAAAAGAGCATAACCTCAGAATAAAGGACAGTTGCTTAAATGGGATACATAGACCTTTGCATTGTTAATATTTTTAATTAATTAAATTTTGGCTGCATTGGG